TTAGTGAAAAGGCCAGACTTCAGGGGTATCTGAGGCAGGCTTGAAACACAAGAGTCAGGGTGGCTTCTGGGTAATACCAGATGGCTAGGCCTCAGACTGACGAAGCCTCTTGGATGAGGGGCGAAACGTTTCTTTTTAACAAAAAAACGAAGTCCAGATGACATGATTCAACCTTTTTTGTTGATTAAAAAGTAGCTTTCACCTCGTCTGCAAAAGCTTTACGAGACACCGGGTCATCTGTTAGCGCTTATAGCATGTGTTGATGCTGACTCTCAGCTACTACCAAACCAAATTTTAGCCCAGTGTCCTTAAGGTCCGGCAGCCATCTTGAATCAGGTGGACTCTAAAAGTTGACGAGTTGTAGATGATTTCAACTTGGCCCTTATGTTGGCCTAGATGAACATTTGCCCCACAAGTGTCCAACCACATGTCCTTCATGTCCACACTCATGTTCAACCTCATGTCCGCACTCATGTTCAACCTAATTTTCAACCTCATGTACACACTCATGTCCAACTACATGTCTAAATTCATGACCAACCAATGTCCAATCACATGTCCACCCTCATGTCCAACCACATGTCCAGACTCATGTCCAACCACTTGTCCAACCATATGTCCAATCTCATGTAAATGGACTGTACTTATATAGTGCCTTTCTATCTGATCATGATACACAAAGCTCTTTACACTACAATCTGTGTCCTCATGTACCCGTTCATTCAGCACTCTACTAAATCTCTACAAAGCTAATTGAACAAATCATTCTAAAGAGAATAATCAGAGCTTTATCACATTCATACGCCTATGGGACACACATCGGAGGCAATGAGGGGTTCAGTGTCTGCCTAGGGACACTTTGGCATGTGACTGCTGGTGGATTCGAACCCCCCACCCTTGCATTGGAGGACGACTGCTCTAACCACTCAGCCACAGCCGCCCAAAGCCACAGCTGTCCACACTCATATCCAACCACATGTCCAACCTCATGATCAACCACATGTCCAACCTCATGTCCACACTTATGTCAACCACATATCCAACCTCATGTCCAAACTCATGTCCAACCACATGTCCACTTTCACATCCAACCACATATCCAACCTCATGTCCAACCTCATGTCCAACCATATGTTCACCCTCATGTCCAACTACATACCCAACATCATGTCCAACTTCATGATCAACCACCTGTCCAACCTCATGTCCACACTTATTTCAACCACATATCCAACCTCATGTCCAGTCTCATATCCACACTCATGTTCACCCACATGTTCAACCTCATGATCAACCACATGCCCAACCTCATGACCAATTTCATGTCCAACCACATGTCCAAACTCATATCCACACTTATGTCCAACCTCATGTTCAATCTCATGTAAACACTCATGTCCA